CTATTGTTGAACTTTGCCCTCCCTGGTTATCAATCCTTCTCTAATGGATATCAATTCGTGGTCAAACTCCTAAAAAAAACAAATCTAATCCTTACAAACCAACTCTTGAAAGTTAGTTAGAATGTCAAAAAATTCTGAAAAGACAAGTTGAAAATGCACCACTTACTTAATGGCATGACAACAGGAGTACCAAAAGCTCTTTTTCCTCGAGTGAAATGTTCACGTTTAGGCGATCTTTTTGCTTTATCCTAGAGCTACGCGATGGAAATGTATCCAAGCTGTACATAAAATGGCTTTTAAAATATTTTTATTATTGTATCCTTTAATTCCTAGAGGAATATAGGGCTTCAGCCGTGCGTCTCCATTGCGTTCGGTTCTCTGCTAGAGTCTTCACCTGGCTCCAACTCTGCCCACACGCTTTCATCTCCTCTTCACATGACCTCCTCCAAGTCACCCTTGGACGACCAACTCGCCGCTTCCCTTTCGGTTTCCACTCAAGGGCTTGTCTAGTGATGTCACTTGATGGTTTCCTCAGAGTATGACCAATCCATCTCCATTTCTTCCTGCCTATTTGTTTCACAATCGGTTCTTGGTTGGTTCGCTCCCAGAGATCCCTGTTGCTGATCTTTTATGGCCGGCCATCTGATCTTGAGTACTGAGCGATGATGGATGATGGATTACAATAAAACCTACATTGTTATCTTCCATGGTGTCTAATAAGTCTGTTAGGATGGCAGTTTGAATAGATTCTACTTAAACTTACCAAGCTTGAAGGTTGAAGGGCATATACATGCAGTGTAATGTAATATTTAGAAATAGTTAGGCTGATAAATATCTTACATAAGCAACAAAGCGAGAATTAATGAATTCATCAAATTTTGGTTGAACTCTTCATCTGGATGCTCTAAATACGGTTGTATATATATGACTGACAAGCAAATAAACTACAACGAATCAATCATGCGAAACGACAGGTGAGAATTTTTCATAGGTCAAGTTCTGACAGATAAAGCGGAGAGGGTGTGAGAAGATAAAATTAAAATTGACTACGCTCCGGTTACATCACTACAATATACAAATAGTTATCAAGAAAAGAAATTAAAAATATCAGGGATTGTAAACTGAATAGCAATAATAATAATAATAATAGTTGAACGGGTTAAGATAAGGATAAATATCTCGAGAGTTAAGATTCACGACAAGACCGTAAAGACTGTTTTTAGCGAATATTTTGTACAGAATTATTTGTTACCATATATATTTTTTGATTATAGCTTGATTCCACACCGTATTTTTGGAACAAGTATGGAATTTTCAGCATGCGGTATCGGTAGCCCAAATTTTGCAGGCCGACCAATTGATATCAGGTGTGCGTCGGTAGGGGATCGAACCCTGGACCATTTGCATGGTCGGCGAGAGTCCTAACCGCTGTGCCACCGATGCACAGAAGTTCAGTTTAAGGCTCAATATGATTACCGTTCAAGTTATCAGTGCTGTTGATGGGAACATTACTGATAAATACAGTAATTCAGTTAAATTAGTTTACCGGTCTTAGAAGATACCCAAAATCGTAGAATACTCAAACCAAAATTCTCATGGATTACCTTACAGGTATCTGATTAATTTCAGTTTTGATGACAAATCGATATCAGTAAGAGAACCATTGAAAACAAGGGAGCACCGGACAGCTGTTTCGGGCATCAAACTTGAAATCAGTCAAGTCCCTACAAATCAACCCTTGAAAATCAATAAAATGCTCACCGCAGTAGCTAATTACAGGATGAGGTTGCCTGAAGTTCTAGCAAGAAGTCGTGACTACTGGGATCCACCAAGTTGATGGGCGTGGGATGAATATTCATCCACGATATTGGCTGGCGGTTACGCTTTATAAATCACGAATTGGAAAAAGTTAGAATTCATAGACCAGTCATCGGAATTCATCCCACAGGTTGAATGGTTAACGAGCTCGTCTTGCAACCTAAACGTCCTGGGTTCGATCCCTAGTGGGATCATGGGTGCGTAGTGCTGAAGAGTCCTGGACATAGACAGAAAGGTTGTCTAGAACTCCATGGTTTCCATAGGTTTTCTAAGTGAAATCAGTTCGTAACCAAACTTGAAACCAGTATTTATTCAAAAATTGATGTAAATGAAGGGTAATTTGATGGACTTTAGAAACATACACTTTTGTTAAGAAGAAACTCGAGGTTTTTCCCTTGTTTCTTAGTGAATTTATAACTTTTGATTTATTCAGAACAATCCCTACCCTATTACTATTACTGATATGACCATTAATACACTCGGTAGTTTGCGCTAACGAACTTCCTACCTACTCGATCCGCTAGCCCACTGTTCTAATCACTATTAGCAACAACAAGACCGAAAACACGATACGACACCACCGAACCCGCGACGCGAGAAAACAAGAAGACAGACAGTTGACGTAGAGAGCTTTTACTGTCTCGTATCAACAGTGAAAATGATTCACAGCCCTTGCGTATATATATGCTTTAAATGGCCTTGAGAAAGACTAATTTCATTGGTAAATCAAAACAGTCGACAACCAATAGGGTTCCGTGGTTATAAGTTTGGGGGGGGGCAAACAAAAACACTGTACTGCAAAAATAAATGTAGCATTTTGGGAAAATTAGGTCTATATAACAATTACTATTATGCAATTTATCTAAGTGATGGCGTTTTCCTATTTTTTTTCTTTAGATGATTGGCTTCCTGATACTGAAGAACATCGCTTAGATTAAAGGTAAAATTATTTCTGAATGGTTAAAACATAACGATTCTCGCGTGGTTTTAGAATATTTATTGTATAAGAAGATAAACTGGAATATAATACATTATTGCAATAATGATAGTGCTAATACTGTTATTAATAATAATAACTTTATTTTAAACAATATATTCACACACGGAACAGAATTCTTAGCGTAACTTAGTACAAAATATTTATTCTTCACACAAAATCAAGTAATAAAGTAATCGATAGTTCAGTCTAAATCAAGATCCCACACCCTACGATGTTTTTTTCTCCCTGTACTCTGCAGTCATTTGTAGCTTGCTCCAAGACTGCCCACGAGCTTTCATTACCTTTTCACACAATCTCCTCTCTGTCACTGTACGACTCATTCCCTTCCCACGCCGGAACCGCTTTACGACGTGGCTCGTAATATCTCTCAACGATCTTTTCAGAATGTAGCTGATTCATTTCCACTTACTTCCGTATATTTGTCAGGCAGTGGGTTCGTAGCTTCTTAGCTGCCTGCCAGAGTTCCATGTTGCTTATCCTTTCTGATGGGCAATTTAATCTTGAGTACTGAAATAGAAAGGGAAGCTGTTGAAAACAGTCTTCAGTAACCTGTTGGAAACGCCTCCAGTGACGCACGTGACAAGTCTCTAAAGTATATAGAAGCAGTGACTTGATATTTGTATTGAAAATTAGGATGATGTTCCTTATGTTAAGTGAATCAGATTTCCACAGTGATTTCAGATTAATGAAAGTCTCTCTTGCTTGTTTTGACATCTTCATTCATGCCGCCTATAGTTCAAACGATGCTACTGGGGTAGGTAAGTGAACAAAATGACTTCCTTTAGATTGCTCCCGTTGAAGGTGATTGGTGATTGTTATCCTCGGCAGTCTGTCTTCCCCATGTCCACCCGAAGTGTTATCTTTCCTGCCCCTTCTGTGTCAAGTGACTGCCTGCCTTTCACCTTTATACCTTCAGGTTTGTGTCACATGAGACATGAATCATCCACGAAATCCTGATCTTCTAGGGTGATTCCACTGGTCCTGTCTTCTCCCTCTTCATGACCTCTTGTATAACGTAGTCCACCACAGTCAGGAATATTATCGATCATAGTAGGCAGCCTTGTCTTACTTCTGTATTCCCTTCAAAGGTCTCAAATCAGCATTTATCACTGAATGAGGCTTATAAAGATTTGTGCCGCTGAACTGTATAGTGTTGAATCAGTTTCAAAATCCCTTCAGAGTCGTTGCTGTCAGAGGTCTCTTCAAAGTCGACAAATCATGCATCTCAAAAAAGAGATGACTAGATCTTCAGGTTTCAAGTATAGTCACATGCAAATTCCCTACTTATATTACATGAAAATCATTCAATTTGTTAAAGAAAACTCAAGTAATTGGATTTCCCAGACACCCTTCTCTCTCTTCCTCCCTCTATCTAAATAATTCCCCAGAGTAGGAAAATGAAACCAGCAAAAATACTTTTCCTTCTCCTCATTCCCTGATTAAAGTCTAAAAATCCACCCCCCTGCGCTATTTCTTTTTTTTACCTTCTACACAGCAGATTAGATCATTTCTGATAATGGTGAAAAATTTTACAGTCATGTGATAAAGCTTTCTAAAACATTAGATGGTAATAATAATAATGATAATAATAATGATAACGATAATGATATCATGAAAAAGACTTGGAAACCAGACTGCAGAATGGCCTTTTCTTTTTCTTCGGAACAGACTAGATGAACAAAACTGATGCTCAGACAAATGATAATAATAATTATCACTCTTATTATTATTATTATTTAGTGACTCAATGTGCGTGTGTGTGTACACCTGAATGTGTGTGCGTCTGTCTGTCTGTCTATCCATCTATGCCTTGAAATAAATATCCAAAGCATTTTGATTGGTAGACTTACAACAAACGTCTATTTTCCAGACTAATGGAATTTGTATTCAAATCAATATTAGAGAATATTGAAGATTATTATCCAGTGAAGGATAACAGCGATAACAAAGGCAGTAGATGCTACGGCATTCATTGCGTCACATAAACGCACACGGGAAGAAGATGAAACATGGACAGTATCACTAAGTTTAAAAATGGTTGTCTTTAAAACGACCTTCACATTTACACTGTTGACCTGAAAAATAAGAAGACTTTCTTGTTCCCCATTTGATTATATCTTGGAAAAAATGAAATAAGCCATCAAAAGAGAAGATTATTTAGATTCTGAAGGTTACTCATTTCATGCTAGTTATTCTTCCAAAATTGTTAATATTATTCGCTTTATACAATGGACACTGTGTATTGTCTAATGTATGTACTTCACAGATAAATACGAGTATATTTAACTGTTCCGGCAGACATCTTACCGAGATTCCTGGATTTATTCACGAAAGTGTTGCTGAATTAGATTTATCCTATAATCTACTTGAAATACTCCATGAGGATAGTTTCACTCGATTACGTAATATTCGCAAGTTAATTCTCGCCTACAACAGAATCTACAAAATCACCGAACGTGCTTTCCTGCCTATTGCAGATACTTTAATATGGTTGGATTTACGATTTAACCAACTGACATCAAGTATTCATGCACCATTCCCGGTGACAGCATTTTCTCAACTTATTCATGTGGAATACTTAGATTTATCGGGTAATGCTTTAGGATTTTTACCAGCTCGATTTTTATATCATGTTGGGGCGAGTTTGAATCGTCTAGAAATGAGTTCTATACCGAAACGAATCCATCTGGAACGGGATACATTTTATGGATTAAATCAGCTGCATTATTTAAATTTAGCTAATAATACATTTGCAAATCTCATGGAAGATGCACTACGTGGATTGAGACCGGAACACTTTTCTTACTTTAATTTAGATGGTGTAAAATGGATCTGTGATTGTCAGATAGTCTGGTTTCGTCGATGGTTAAGTCGACTGCCGAAGAAAGCTACACAGTTTAGTTTAAAACCAGGCGGTGAATGCGGCTCTCCAGGACAATATCAAAATATACCATTAATGTATTTGAATTTAACTTCATTACAGTGTGAACCAGAGTTGATGAGTACTATACCATCATGTCATCAACATCGTCATCCTCATCTTATCGACATCATCTTCTCAAGTCGAATTCAAATCTCACTGACCATGCGACACCTATTGATGTTTATGGTTTTCAAGATCATAATTTAACTCTAGTTTGTTCATTTATCAGTGAACCTAAAATGCAGATTCAATGGTTTCATAATGGTGTACTCATACAACCACATTGGTCACGTGTTATACAAACTATTAGCCCTGGAATAAAATTTATCACTACACTATACTTTGAACATTTGGATAAAACTAGAGATGAAGGGGAATATAAGTGTCAAACAAGTAATCATAAAGGTTATGCGTCGGCGACCTTCCATGTACATGTTCAAAAGTCAAATGAACAAATTAATGAATTCAAACTATTCGATGATGATGATAAAAATAATAATTTTCATAAAAATAGCCAATTTAATAATAATTTATTTAATCCAATTATAATTACTATTTGTATCATTTTATTTAATGTTACATTTATTATAATTGGTTTGTGTATATTAAAATGTGTGTACAATAAACGCGCGCATTCTCGTAACCATAGAAAAAATCGATTAATTAAAACAACGAAAGACAACATTGAACATTTAAATGACAACTACACAAAATCAATAACTTCAAATTATACTCCAGTCATAGATAATATATCTCAAGTAAATGTACTGAATAATTTAGATAATAATAATAATACAGAGATAGCAAGTGATCTCTTACCAATGTTATCACATTTACCTGATGAAAATCTAGCGCAATTACAAATAAATCACATAACACAGTACACAAATAATAAATTATCAAATATAAATGACCTCAACATTGATAATATTCCAAATAATAATAATGATAACAACAGTTTTAAGTATACATTACAAACAAAACTGACACATTATTCAATGAAACAAGAAACACCTTCACCACAAAGTAGTGATATGGGTTATTTAACATCGAATGCTTCACAGAATTGTGATAGTTTAACAGAACAGTACAACAACTCAAATTCAAATCATCTGGATTCTGCTGTGTCAATAAAATCAGTGAAACCTAAAAGTTATTATAAACTAGGCATTCGATCTAGAAGTCATTCACCGGAATTAATTTATTTCCCAGCTAATAATACAAATTCTGCAGTAATAATGCCACAAACTACTTATTCACTTTTCAGTAGTCCAACTACACCAGAACGATTAACTTATAATACTTTAGAGGCAAATTTACCTGAACAACCGACTACCTCTAAATATCAGTATGATAAATGTGATACAATAATACTGGGGGAATGTAATAAATTAATCACCAGTGAGAATCTTTCATGTCCAATTCATGGACTAAGCAGTGTAAATGACGAGAATGATTTACTCAGTACAGATAAATCATGTAAAAGGCATTCAATAAAAACTCAAAATATGTCCAAGTGTCCAATTCATGGGGATAAAAAAACTCTGCAAAGTTGCAATAAATTTGATGGTAATAGAAATAAAATTAACCCGCGAAAATCATCTGTAAAATATTCAAGTTTAAGAATGGATTATTGTAATAGAAGTTTAATGGAATCTATGAAAATGACTACATTGAATGGACAGCGTAGAAGTATGAGAAATTTACTGAATAATAACATTGATAATAATAATTAAACATTGAATGTCCCTTTTTGTTTGTTTTTCGGAGTGTATTTTCTATTATGTAGATTATTAGGTTATTAGGATGCATGTCACTCTCAGGTGCGAAACTCGTTGTTTCTCATTTAGGTTCTACTTGACAGCATGGCGTACAATGTCACTAAACAGTTGCCTCAGTGTGTACGCAATCCATCCCCATTTTCCTCGGCGTATTTGTTGGGCACTGACAGAGTTCCTTATTTGTGATGATATTAGATGGTTGGAGGCAATCGGCAGGAAGCCTTGGACCTAGGTTTCTTGCTGGTTGGCATTCACTGGTCAGCAAGGCGTATCTTCAACCTTGAAGGAACTCATGTCCCTTCTGAGATTCGAATTCGCATCACCCATTGCTGCAGTCAATCAGAGACATTACCACTGAGCTATTCGGGCTGGCTTGTGATTGACTTCCTGTAGGACTGTAGTGGATATTTTGATTTGACACTAGTAACTAGTGTGATGCGTCTAGTGCTCTCTTCGGTGCAGACTGAATTCTATCAGTCAGGTTGTAATGTGGCCACCATTCTAAGTATTGCTAATTCTCTCCAGTGGACATCTGATCTTCTTCATCAACGGAGAGAAGGCAGTTGTTGATAAAAGTCTAAAAACTTCGAAACCTGTCGGAAATGCCTCCCGTGATGCGTCATGTGTGTGAACCACAAAGAAGCACTAATTGCCTTGGTATTAGTGTTGAAAATGCAAATCTCGTTTTTACTCTGTGATGAGTTTTGTTTTTAAAATAAAAGGATTACCAACTTCATAAGTATTGAGGGCTGTTTTATAATGTCACTTACAAGGGCAGAAATATTTATTATTGTGTTTATTTATTATTGTTCCCTCGGGTTCTGAGTGGAAAGTAGGGCCTCAACAGTACGTTTGTTGAAAATCCGAATCTTGTTCTTTATACTGAGTTCAGAAGACTTCTAAACTGATTTCAGATCGATGAAATTTTGACTTGCTTGTCTTTCCGATCACTGCTGGTTTTGACATCCTCATCCGTGCTGGCTGCCTGTAGTTGAAACGATGCTTCCTAGAACCTCGCCTAGTTTACTAGCTCGATAGTTTTCTAGCCGGTTTCAAGCCCGGAAGAGATGGGAGGATTGGACCTTGGGGTAAGCGACTCTCTGCCCCAAAAGGTCAATCCAATCGTTAAAGAAACCTCGAAGCACAAAAAAGCATTTTGTGTTTACTTATGAAATTTACTAATTAGTGTGTTAATGAAGGAATTACTTTGAGCAACACCTGAAAAGTTAGAGTTTCTAGATGAACAGTGTTTTATGCCTAATTCTTTAAGACGACGATGATCGAATCATGTCAGTTAGCGTACAACATGTTCACTAATCTAAGAAACGCTCCATTACGATGCACTTATTGAATTATTGTGAGATAGTAAGGTGTAATGAATAGGAAGCAGTGAATGTAGGTTTAGTGTTTATTGGAACTCGTCAGTAAGGCATACATGTAAACCTGAGGAATCTGATGTCTCCTCTGAGATTCTGGCCCACATCATCCAATGCTGCAATCAGAGAATCTACCACCTATGTCATTTTGGTTGACCGTCAGAAGAATGTGTCTGCATCCTCAAGGAATGATGATCTTTCCAGTAGTTCTCGAACGGTCCATCCATCGTACCAAACTCCGAAGCACTATCTACTAGGCCACTAATTTTCCAAGTGCAATGGATTTTCGTTATTACTTGTTTCTGGGTTAATTTACATTTTCCATTGACTGATAATGTTATCCTGTAATGGTCGATCTCCGCTGACATGGAGGTTCCTCAGATATCATCACAGAGTCTGTACTAGAAGCTGATATATCAGTGCAGACCAAACATTTCAGTCTTACATGATCAGATAACGGGAAATGCAAGTTAATCTAAATATTAATATTATCACTGAGTTACCTAGGCATGTTCCACTTCAATAGTTAGGTGGACAGTAAAGCCTATTAATTCTGAAATATGTAAGTGGAAAGAAAATATCAATAATGAATGATTTAAGTACTTATTTCAAGCAGATTATATTTTGATGAAGCATCTTCTAAAATTTCCCTCTTGAAGTGATACGCCAACATCATTTCTACCACATTTTTTTCCTTCACGTTCCCCAGTGGAACATAGGGCTTCAAGCTAATGGCTTGAAGTTTCTGTAGCAGTGTTTCTTTTACAGGATGGAGTTGCTAGCCTCATGCCCAACCTTTTCTCTTCACCAGCATTATTTTTGGCTTAGCGAGGTGAAGGAGTGCGTCGGCCGGGGATCGAACCCCGGACCATGTGCATGGTCGGCGAACGTCCTAACCGCTATGCCACCGACGCACATTTCTACCACATAGCGTATGGGAATGCAACTCAACGACCAATTAATACTACTTATAGTTGGTAAGGATACTATCTGGCTACAGAAGCCTTGTTAGGTAAAGCGGTGTCCGAACCAGCGACGTAGAGGCTGAGAATGGGGCGACTAGACCAGTGGAACGCTGCCCTCATATATATATATATATATATATTGTATGGAGCGAATAGCTTTTCATTACCTGTATAATTAAAATTTATAGCCATAAAATCATTAGCTAAATACTCTTATTCCTGTTTATGAATTTGAACAAAGTAAAAATAAGTCTGTGCAGAATAAGCAAGTACCATCGTTTATTTCATCAGCTTCTCATCATCTGTGTACAACCTAGAAGTTTATGTGTAGAGCAATTTTAACGTCCTTTCAAATGTGACATAGCGTCAGTTAACAGAAGACTCTGAAATGAATAAACAGTGCCCAGAAATTACACGTATATATAACTTGGACACTCAAGTTTAAGCAAAACAAATTTTTAAAAATAACAAACGTTTGGTTACCAGGTAAAAAGGGTTGCGTAATAATGACAGGAGGTGGGTAATAATAATGATAGTAGCTTTATTCTGAAAAAATGTATTTATATATAATGCAGAATTTTCAGTGAGTTTCACTGCAAGGTATTTACCCCTTGTGTAAAATCTTCAAATAATGCAATAATAGAGAAGATTTGTAGCTCAGGTGGATGATTTGCAATTAGTTGTGTTCTCTGAGCTGGTTGGTTTAATTGCAGAGCTTTCGTCGTCCTTCTGGACAACATCTTCAGCGCAAGTTTTAGCATAAAATGAACTGATTTAAATTCTCCATGAATGATAGAATTGTGTCTCCTGGCAACCATCTTTGTGACTGGTAGTCGTTTTACATCTGTATTGATCATTTTTTATTGATTTGGAATCCAAACTTTCTCGTCACATGATTTACTTTTTATTAGTTGGTAAATTTGGTCTATATTAACACGTAACAGATATTACATCGGTCGAAGTGGGCGTCCCCTTCGAATCAGAATCCAGGAACACAAATTAGCTGTAAAAAGACATGATATATACATATTCTTTCATATCAATGCATATAGATAATTATGGACATCCGTTTGATTGGGACAATGTCAAAATTCTAAACAGAGGAAATACCAAAAGTGGCAGAGAATTCCTAGAAGCCTCGTACTCAAGAAAATATGCGATTAACAAACATGTCAATATAGACCAGATTTACCAACTAATAAAAAGCAAATCATGTGACGAGAAACTTCAAAATCCAAGTCAATGAAAAATGATCAATACAGATGTAAAACGATTACCAGTTACAAAGATGGTTGCCAGGAGACACAGTTCTATCATTCATGGAGAATTTAAATCAGTTCATTTTATGCTGAAACTTGCGCTGAAGATGTTGTCCAGAAGGGGAACGACGAAAGCTCTGCAATTAAACCAACCAGCTCAGAGAACACAACTAATTGCAAATAATCGATAATACATCATCTGAAGGAATATAGTTCCATCCGGGTATGCTTCAATGTTACTCCACAATGTTCTTCCCCGATTTTCTTCGAAAAATTCATAGTGGTAGGTAGGTTTTTTAACTTGTGCGCAAGTATAGATTGCAACTCTTTATGGTAATTAGGAAATTATAACAATTTGAAATGTAGTAAAAATGATGCATTTTAATGGATAGAAAATTCAGACAGCCTACTGATTTAAACAGACCGCCATATTCTGATAGATAATCAATAAAGTACATAACGGTGTAATGAGTTCAACCCAAGTCATAGAAACAAAAGATAAACAGAATAATATTATATCGAAAAGGGTGGAGGCTAAATATAAAGATTAAGAAATCAATCAGAAAAGTGGGTGAGGACATTGAGTTGCCAGGGTAAGAGAAGACTATTAACTGCTACTTTCTGAAGCATTTGATAGTTACTGCTTTGGTAAACTTGAGGGGAATGGCACAACTGATCGCTTGATTTGAGTTGAATTCATCACATCGTTACGCAACTTATTACTCACATATCATCTACTCATTCACCTACTGTCTTTATTACTCAACTTCTTTTCTCCTGTATCCAAACATTAATTTGTTTTACTTTTGTTATTTTAAAGTTGAATCTCCTGTGTATCCGTTTGTATAATTGTGATTTTTGAGCACTGTTTACTAATTTCGGAGTCTTATGTTAACTGGCATTATGTCACATTTGCTGTGTAAGTGAACGTAATTAATTGTCTTTCGGCCTACGAAGATGATGAAAAGCCGAGAAAACAAACGATGGTACCATCTCATTCTGCATGTGCCACTGTTTTGATTAATTAAAATGGTTAGAATATCATCAGCTATAATCTTTCAAATGTAAATCTGCTTAGGTCACAGAGTAGTTACACAATCTTTGAAATACCATTATGGAGAAATTCATTTCGAAAAAGTCTCACTATTATACGGCAATATTGACTGATGACCCCGTTTAGAGCACAATTTATTGCTGCTCATAATCACATCAAGCTATTCACACAACTTTCTAACTGCGTTTATATAATTCCATTATTTTTCATCTCTTGATTTGATTGGTAGTAATATCTTCCATATTTCTGGTATTTGCATTGAGTCATTTCTGTTGCACGTGTTGGGTGTAGACTCGATGAA